CTGTGTAGTTAATGCTGCTCAATGTGAAAGCACGCAGGTGATGGAGATTTACCGCTGATTACAGAACCGGCTTTCTGACAAGATGTGCATTAAATATCGCATGCGATTTATCGTGCAGCCCTAATGTCAATCTATCTTTCTATCTATCCATCTATCCATCTATCTATCTATCTATCTGTCTATCTATCTATCTATCTATCTATCTATCTATCTATCTATCTGTCTGTCCGTCCGTCCGTCCGTCAGTCCGTCCGTCCAAAAGCGAATAAAAAAATTGAAGTAGCATATAAAAAATAACACAAACAAAAATTAAAATTAATACTGAAAATACAAAAATAAGTTATTTCAAAACATGAATAAATAGTATGTAAGTAATACTAGAATATCTCTGAAATAACATTGAAGAAGTTACCTTTGAACTAAATTGTTTTATGAAGAGAATGTCTATCCATCCAAGATGAAGTACTAGCTATTTCGCACATACGGTGTAACTTATAAAACAAAACAAACAACACAGTTCTGCTCTTAAATATCTTGTTTACTTTACTAAGTGCCTCTAGAAGTTTTAGTTTTTCTTGTTTTCTCAGTGGAAACCCTCCGTCAGCTGATCTTCAGAGACCTGGAGGACGGGTGGAGTCAAGATTCAGATGACACGCCCACAAACGAGACGGCCAATGAAAGAAGCCCCTTCACAGACAGACCTGACCCCGCCCCCAGCGAGAGCCCCGGTCAGTGGGGGGAGGAGCCTGTAGAAGCTCCGCCCCTGGAGGTGCTGCATTCACCTGTTCAGGTGGTGAGGAAAGGTAAACGCTCGATGATCAGCAACTTCACGATCATAGTTCTGGAGCAAAATATAGTGATTAGAGTCATGTCATCACCCAGTGTTTCTATTTAAATTTATTTCAGCTTCATTTTGATTAATGAAAATGATTTCACTGTGGGCTTTGTACACCGAGTCTGAAATTCTCGTCCGAAATTTTTGCACGTTAAAAAATAATTACGACCTCACGTTGTGTCAGTCACACTTACACACTGCCTCCGAAAATTTTATCCGTCATAAAACAATTCAGATCAGGTTCGATTTTCCGTAACAAGCATTTTGATAGGAAACGATGACGAATATGAAAAAAAAAAACGCATATGAATATTTATAAAACGGAGAGTTCCAGTCCTTGATTCTGATTGGCTGAGCCGCGTTCGAAGCTGTTGTAAATTACTCTACAAACACACACCTTTGTTTACGTCTGTGTGTTGCTCGGCAACCACTTTGTTGCAACCACAACTGATTCTGAGGAACTACATTGTTTGGTGGAAGAATACTGTTTTTATTAATATCATTACACTTTATTTGCTCTGTTTTATTTTGTGAAACCTTACTACGTATATGGAATAACCGTTTTATAAAAGCAATAACCCCGTGAAGCCGTGGTTTACAGTGAATTTATAACACCTATCGTGCCTAACAACGCCCCTTAGCTGTTATAAATTCACTGTAAACCACGGCTTCACGGGGCTTATTGCTTTATTCGGACTCAGTGTGCAAGGTCCTTAAGTTTCACTGTATTTTCAGAGAATTGAAGCATTCGTGTCTCTCTTCCCCTGTCTCTGTCTGTCTCTCTGCATGTGCTCAGAGCTCACTGTGATGACGCTTATGTGATTTAACACACTTCTCTCATCTCTCTCTCTCTCTGCTACTTCTCCACAACACACACACACACACTCTCTCTCTCTCTCTCACATGTTCTGCTACTGTGGCTTCTTGTATTTGTCTGTTTCTAACAACACACCATCTATCTTTCTGCACACCTCTCTCTCTCTCTCTCACACACACACACACACACACACACTCGCTCGCTGTCTTTCACACACAGTTGTGGGTGCGGGCTGCTCTCTTCCTGATGACATCACTGATGATGTCACCGCCGGCCAATCCTCTCGGGACGGAGGTGGGGCTAATCTATGTATCGTACAATACTCTTGGGAGATGCATTCTGGGCCGGTTTCCTGCGAACAATTGTGGCTGGTCTCAAACGTCATGGCTTGTTTTCAGTCTCGGCCCGACTGTGAAATATAATCCGGGGTGAGATTTGGTTGCCGTTTTGGAAACCGGTCCTGAACGATCTGGATGCAGTCTGTCTCTCTTTCTGTTGTTCTTCTCGTGAACCTCAACGATTCCTCGTTCAGCGCGTTTCCTTTTGTAATCAATAACATGACTGAACATGGAGAAATATTATATAAAACTACCGTCAGCTGTGATTTTTATGAGTTGTTTATAAAGAATCAAATTGTAATTTGTTTTTAATAAATTTAATTGTTTTGTTCGTTTTTACTGGTAGTAAGTATGTTTGTATATATTACATGTAATATATTAATTGTATTTAAATTTTATATTTAATCATGAATATAGATGTAAAATCTTGAGATGTTGCATCAGAACTTTTTACATTAAAACTATTTTTTTCTGTGTTCGTTTGCCAAGTAATTGACATTGCTGCAGCTTTAATTTGAAATGTTATATATTTGTATTTTTTATTTCATTATAGATATTCATTTGTTTTATATTTTCATTTTAGTCATTTAGTTTCCTATTTGTCTGTTTTTCTATTTTTTTTTTTTTAAGTTTAATAATTCAATTTATGCTTTTATTATTTTCATAATTGGTTTTAGTTCTAGTACTTAAACATAAATTATTTTACTTGCCGAGTCAGCATTTCTAATTTTCATTTACTTTGTTTTCATCTAATATTTAGATTTTTTTTTTTTTCAGTTTTATTTAAAAAAAAAAAAAATGTTGTATTATTTATTTTTTTTTTAGTTTAATATTCCTCTTTAGTTTTTATTCATTTTTATTTCAGTTTTAGTCGTTTTAGTACTTAATTTAAGTTAATTGGCCAGGCAACATTTCTAATTCTCATGTACTTTAAGTTTTCAGCTAATATTTATACTTAATTTGCTACTTTTTTTTAATCATTTTTTTTGTAATTTCGTTTTTTTTTTGTTTTTTTTCAGTTTTATTTCCATTACATTTTTTTATGTTTGTATTTTTAGTTTTACTTTTTTGTAAATAACAAGACTGTGTTGCTGTGCTGCTTCCAGGAAACATGTTTTATCTGGTCATGCCCAAAGATCAGTGGCGCGCTCTCACAGACGAGAGCAGCACAGACGAGCTCAAAGACTCAGACGCGTCTCACAACATCCATCAGACTCCAAACATGTCCTTCATCAACGAGGAAGAGGAACAGGACCAATCACTGACTGAGACCCTGAGTCACAGGGAAAGACTCGGCCAATCACAGCTGAGCATCCAGCGACATGTGATCAAAAACGTGGATGAGATCTTCAACACCATGGAGGAGCTGATGAGGAAACTACAGCACCTGAGGGTAAAACACACACTCACACACACACAGACACACACACAGAGA